CACCCAAATCTCTATAAAAAAAAATCACTGGTGAAATATCTTTTTAAATTTGATCCCGAGATAACAATAGTTTTCAGATGGTGTTGAAAAATCTGTCCAAAGTTGCCTGTTAAGAGGCAAAAATTGTCTGGAAAAGTTGTTATATTTGTTTTGAGCTCAAACTTAAAAAAAAAATTTAGCTGTGATCATCTTTTGTAAAGGTATGTGGGCTTAAAGATTGCTAATTTGGCCAATTTGGGATAATTAATGCGTGATATTTTAGTCCAATCAAAGCGTAAGCGGAAATTAAACCTGTCATACAAATCGTTCTAAATTGAATTGACGCACGTAATTTGATCTGTTTCAAATTTAGCTATATGCTTAATGTTTTGCTTTGATGGTTTTCGCAAAAAAATTCCAAAAAAGTTTCAATTTTCTTTTGAAAGTTTTTTCAATTATTTCTAACGTGAACACACTCAATGGACTATAAGGAGCAGTCGGTACATTCAGGGCTTTGCCCTGACACGAGCAGTCTTGTTTTATTTTGGGACGCGCAATTTTTCTGTTTTTCAATTACGCGCAGATAAAGATTTCTTTCGCATCTTAAATCATTAAGAACTGAAATTTTAAAAATATTTAAGATATAACAAGAGTGCTCTAAGATGAGAACGAAACCCTTAATGTTCCGTCTGAACTTTAAAGGTCAATTGAGAAATTTTTTGCTCGAAAAACTACCAGCAATGTGTTACAATTGTGTAGCAAAACTGGATTGCGATTATTGTCTCTGAACTATTTTAAGGTGGTCTATAATTTATTGATCAAAAGGATTTAAAGTTTTCGTCTAGCATTTCTGTAAGTCGAATGATAATCGCATTAAGTTAATTGTGTTCGCATTTATCCTATTTTAATGTTCAAATGTTACTGTTCAAATTTTAATGTTAATTTTTTGTTAGCAGTCAAATAATTGTAGTCAACCCGCGGCACTGACAAAAATATAAAAAAGGCTCTCTTACAAATCTATAAAATCTGTAATAATCATCATAAAATGAAATTACTTTTCATTACTCTGAAACCTTTGGACCGCAAAATCTTGAATAAATCTTCCTGAAATTAATGGTTCAAAGTGAACAATGCACCTTGAGTGACTTGACGTCACTTTAAAATTGACAAGCGTTTTTTCATTTTAAGTTTTTAGTAGAAATTTGGAGCAAAAGCAATGTACAAGCTATAGCCGACAGTTGTTGTTTGAGCATTTTGAACTAGTTTGACTTTTGAACTAGTATCAACCTAAAAATACTTCAGTCAAAATTTTGGGGAGCCCGCTTGGTCGAAACCTAAATTGATCCAATTAATCTGCATGACATTTTTGTTTAAATTTTTATAATCAGAATAAATGGCATAGATGATAGATGGATAAGCTTCCCTGCTAGATAAATTGTCTATAATAAAGATTCATTGTTTCATCCTATAACCTACCCTGCTAATCAATTATGTCGATTATGTATTTCTGATGGCCTACTCGATTTCTTAACCTACTCACATTTATACAAAACGATATCCCTCACATCGTTTATTATCCCTCTCGCTTTATAACCACACTTTTAGAAAACCCTTTCTCTAATTTTTAACACCCACATTTAAACGCCCCCATGCTTACTTGCCCCAAACCTATCTCCGCCCCAACTTCCTTCGCCCTCAAAATTACCCCTCCCCTTCAGCGCACACTCGCCTCAAACTACCAAAAATGTGACACTTAGCGTAGTGGTACGGCGTTCAATTTCAGAACTTCAGATTTAATTGAATCATGTTTCAAGAGAACACCGTCTTGATAATATGCCTTCTGGTTCAAAAACTTATTGATGGCCTTCTCAAGTGAAGTCTATTTCGCAAGAATTTTTGATTTAGCCTAATCACAAAATTCTTTAAGCCGTTCTATGTATGATGTCAAAGACCCTATGCAAAATAAGCAACAATGAAGTGATTTGTTAACATGTAAAATAGACCATCTGATGTGTGACTAAACAAGTTTAAGCTGAAAGGTCCTTTTCCTTTTTTTGTTTCCGCAATCTTGTCGGTCAATCAAAGGAAACATCATTAGAAACCTGTTAACCTCCTGTTGGGTCCAATTTCCTGCGGAAACTCCCACCTTTTTCCAAAAACAAAAATCTTTTTTTTTCAGGATGCTTTATGAAGAGCAATTTTTTTTTGATTTTTATTTTGATGGCTTGACAATTTTCCGTTCTTTTTAGTTTATATTATCTTAAGCAAAAAGAAAAAATAAAATTACTTCTTTTTCACCCCGAGCTAAGTTAAATATTTTAGAAGTCAGAAAACAAATAGAATCAGGAGCAGTAAAAGTTGAACTATTTATATATATAAATAAAAGTAAATATGTAAATATGTACTGTTTCACAGCTCAGCCTTTTTAGCTTAATTAACTCAAAATCTACAGCGGGACGGGAAATGAACTTAATTCTATCATTTTCGTTTTACCATAAAAAGAGCCTAAATCACCAACAAAACAAAGAAAATCTAAGTTATCCATTTTTACGAACTATGGTATAGAAGAATTTTTAAAGGTCAGCGGACATTGGTGATCGACAAAAAAACCAATTGAAGTTTCATTTCGTTTGGTTCTCATGATTATGGTATCAATGACTTTATTTGAAGTTCAAAGGAAATAAGTGACGTCAAACTGCTCAATATTTTATCCGCTCATTCTACCAAAACTATTCACTTTTCAAACATTTAAATGTAATTTTCCTAATAGGAAACTTCACCTAAAAAGAACTTTTTAATCTGTTAACTATTTTACACAAAAGAGAAAAATTTGTTGAAAGATACAAACTCGAATCTGCTTGACCGTTGAAATAGTTTCATTGTTGACAAGATTGTTTCAATAGTTTCATAGTTTCATAGACAATAATTTCATAGTTTCAAAGTTTCTTGCGTGCATGGTTTATCTTCTCAGAACTGCATGTTTCGCGCAGATGTTTATGAATGACATTCCAGAGCAAAACAAATTGAAAAATGACAAAGTTGGGATGCTTCGTAAGATATTGTAAAAATTTTTCAAGTTTCTTGCAAAACACAGGCAAAATTATTGCAAAGTGTCTCTTTTGAAGTTTTTCAAGTTTTGAACATGATTGTAACATCTTGTGAGGACATCGCAAAACTGATCAATTTTGAAAATAAAATTTAGAAAAATCTTTTGAATCTTGCGAGAATCTTCTCAGTCTTGCAAAATAGCCATTTAATTTATTTTTTCTCATTTTGGATTCTTCATAATTGTAAAAAACGGCGGAGTTTTTGTTTTTTCAATTTCATGGTCCTTGCATTTCTCTTGTTTGCATCTTTACAAATTTTCTCTACAGTTATTTTTTTGAATGAGCAGTTTTTTGTAAGCTTTTTCGGAGATAATTTTCTGTCAGTTTAAGCAAATGAATCATCTATACGCAATTATATAGCACACTTTGATATATCTGAATAAATTATCGAAAGTGGCTAATTAAACAAAAGGAAACAACAAATTTTAAGCAAAAAAAATCAAAAAAGTTTTTTTTATGGTTCCTAACTATGTAAAAGTATGCGTTCCAGTTTCGACTTTCGAAAAAAGTGATGGGCTATTTGAACTAAGTTCTCTCGGTCTTCAGGCTAATAATCGCCTTTAAACGAGCGGTTTTTCATGCAACTTTAATCATCTGAGATTTATTGACGTCTTGTTTTCTCTTGTTAATATAATTATTCGCTAACTGTATCATGTGTACTTTGCCCTAGAAAAAAAATTCATAAACCTAAAAAGGCATTCGGAATTTTCAGAGTTAGGCCCTGATACGAGAAGTCTTGTTTGATTTTTTATGCTATTTGTAAGAGCTATAGAAAGTTGAATGTTTGTATGCTTTCATAAATAACGCCCGTCTTATCTTTTTCAAATGAAGGCTATATCATGTTCATTTCAATGAAAGCTCGTCAGGTGCTATTCATTGTCCCAACTTTCGGAGAAAGTGACTGAATATTTGTGCTCGTGGTCTTTTTTTCTAATCAAGATAAATTTCGACTTTTTAACTTGCAAATCTCCTATCATTCGAAAGATATGCTTTCTTTGGGCTCAAATTCAAAAAAACTTAAATATTTGTACTGCGGTTTTATTTCGTAAAATTATACACTTATGGCGGTTTATAAACTGCCAGTTTTGCCAACGTGGGACAATTAATGCGCGATATATGTTGTGCTATTAACGCTAAGCGGAGATTTAATCCGTATTAGAAATGGTTCCAAGTTGAATTGAGGCATGCTCTTTGTTCCATTTAAAAATTTGCTGCACGCAAACTATATCAATCTGCTTTTTCATTGCATGTAGGGGAATGTTTTTTGAAAAAAAAACTTTAAAAAAATAAATTAAATTTTTTTCTTCTTTTTTTGCTTAAAGTTTTATGCATTTTTCGTTAAAAAACACTACTCCATAGTTTTCAAAAGGGATTTGGTACTTTCAGGGCTTCACCCTCCTGATACAAGCCGTTTTGTATCAATGGATCAATGAAATATTTATCAGCACACAAGTTAAAAAAAGGCATTATTCCTGGACAAACGTTTCGTGAGCATTTGAAAAGATTACAATGGTAGATATTTTTGACATGTATTTGTAGACAACAATTCTGAGTCAAAAAATCTAAATAAAAAGTTACTTGTGACAATTACTTGCGATAGGTTTCGTAAACAACAAATGCAAAAGTAAGCCTCAGATGCAAATCAATTGAAGCTAGCCGAAATTTACCTAAGGCTTTCAGACAACTTCCATTAACATCATAAGAAATAGAAAAACGCATTCGCGTTTTTTTTTCATGAAAAGATTGTGGGTGTCCTAACAATATTTGAGTGCGATGAAACTAGTGAAGTTTCTAAAAATCTTAGTGGCTGATACAACTATGCCACAAAGAAGTTGCAATTTCTTATTTCTCAACTTTTTTTCTCAATCTCAAGGTTGCATAGTCTAAAATAAGCGTGAAGAAAGGGTGACTCACTTTTCGTTCATGAGACAGTAGATGACGGGGTTGACTGCAGCTGAAGTGTTATAGAGTATGTTGGCGAATGTGAGCAGGTGGTCACACAGAATCTCGTGACGCTCGTAGAAGGCGTCGTTGAACGCCAGGAATGTGTACACTGCGAACACGGGCAGTCGGGTTACCAGGAACATACTCACCACCGCAACGAACATCCGAACAGCCTAAATCACAAACAATATTCATAATCATCCCGGGTGACCGAAAATGATTGGCCTACAACTTTCATATAGGGAAAAAGTTAATTTAAACAGTTCGTACATTCCATACGTACAGAAAATTGCGAGAAAACTTAACGATGAGAATTGTTTCATATATGAAATTTTTATGACAAGCAATCTTCCATTAATCAAAAATTTAATATTTTTCGAGTTGTGCTAATTACGTTTGTGTTCGTCCGAATACTCTCTAACCAAAGATTTCCCAGCACAAATATCCCATGGTTGAGAGAAAGAAATCTCACAGATACTTGAGTAGTACATTTGAGTAGTAATTGAATGAGCAAACATGTAATAGTTCACTCAGAACTATGAATGAAAACCTTCAATTTTTGCATTTGGCTAGAAAGATTTAGTCTTACTTCTTACTTGTCGAAAATCAGGGCCTGATTTTGTTGACAAAGTGAAGTAATCTGACAATATAAAAGCATTACAAACTTCAAGTTTGGATTCGCATAAAAATCCTCAGTCAATTCGGTTTCTTTTTTATGAAATATTCAGCCTGCAACGAGTATGAAGTTGTATGATAAATACTTTTCTTCTATGGAATTGTAGGATAAACATTTTTCGTGAGTAGAGGTCAACCCGGGATACTAGTCAAAATCATAATCATATTAATCACAGTAATCAAGAATAATCATAAAAATGATATTCTTGATTCTTGAAAATGAGCCACAAAAAATAATATAATTGAAAAAGATGAATTTCCCGAGTCAGTGAGTAAAATAAATGCCACCATTAACTTCAAAAAAAAACAACAAACAGTTAGCGATTTTTTTTCAGGTCCCTAATCTTCCTTAGGTTTCCCATAGTTGAAAAAGTATACCACCTCTCTATCATTTTTTATTGCAAACGGACATTTTTTCTTTCATTCAATCTTTCACACAATCTTTCAAAACAAAAAAGCCGCAAAATTAGGAGCAGTGGGGTGTTCTTTTCTTATATATCTTATTGCACTGACGCATTTTTTTGTTTTCCTCTTCATTTGTTTGTCTAAATATTCATCTATTTGATTAACGTGCATTAATTTTTACCCGTTTGAATGTTTTAATGATGTACGGAATCATTTTTGGCGCTTTTTCTCAAAAACTTACAAAAGTTACTCAAATTCTGATAAAATATTGGAGTTTTGGCGCTTTATGGGAACTTGGATGTAGTCAATTGGTCCAACTCTTACAAAAACTGTTTTCAAAAAATCAGCACCTCTCAAAACAAGACTGCGTCATTTTAAACTAAATCGCATGACTTTAGACAATTCAGAAAAAGCATAAGCTTGTTAATGATAGAAGAACCTGCATTAAATAAAAAAAAATTGATAATTGATAAAATATAAATTTTTTGCTCTGTCTTTATAATATATTATAAAAAATAAAAAGCTTTTAAAATTGAACAAGGATTTTTTAAATTTAAAATGAAATAATCCATTTTTGTTCAATCATATGGGATTATGATTGATTTTATTTCATTTTTTCTTCAGTAGGTTTTTGATTTTAAAATTGAACTACGATTTTTTTATCTTAAAATGAAATAGTCCACTTTTGTTCAATTATATGGTATTATAATTGATTCTATTTCATTTTTTCTTCAATGAGTTTTTGAACTTTTTGTAATTGAAATCGATTACAATATATTTTATATCACACTTCTACATTTTGCATAAGGATTGCTTATAAATTAGACTTTTCATAGACGTTGATTTATATAGAAAGTTGGAAAACCGTTTCATTAGTTTTAAAACGAATTAAAACCTATAAATTCAAAATATTTTAGTAAATATATTTAATAATTGTTTTAATTTTGTACTCATGAAATTTTGCTCATGATGCAATTTTTTTTCTTTCAGCAAAATAGTAGCACATTGTTTTGTATTGATGATTAGCTCGGCTCATTTTTTTCATTTAACGTGGAAACCTTTCAATTACTATAAAGAGACATCTATGAAAAGTTCGTATCCTGGTAAAGTTTTGTGTTCCAATGCGCCTAAATGTGAAAAGGCATCTCAAAATTGGAGATTTTTTGACAGCAATTTTATAATCCATCATAAGATACTTTTGTTGTGTGATAACAAGTTCGCAAAGTAACAAGTTTTAATTTACTATAACTGAATTTAGGAGATTTTCTACATATAATACTAACGATTAAAATTTTTCAAATTCTCCTTTAAGTTCTTGAAAAATGTTGTTTTTACAATGAATTTTAAACTGTATTATCTTCATTATAAAATGTCTCATGTAAATAGTTATAACTTTTATAAAAATTTGTTTATAATTGTAGTTTATTCGAATATTTTCTCTTTTTACTGAGTGCGAGAAGTCTATGGAAACTAAATTTGTTGTCGTGCATCTCGGGACTATGAAATTCGACAAGCCTATTTGACGACCTTAAAATACCAAAATTACGACGGTAGTCCATAGAAAACTTAGACAATAAAAACTGGGCCAATAAATTTTTTTGTTTGAAATGAAGTTACACAAAAACAAAAACAGTATAGCATCACAGAACTGATCGAAGTTATTTATTAAAGAAAATTTATCATATAAAATTAAATAGAAAAATTATGGTACTTTTTTGAAATGCATAAATTTTTAAATTGTGGTCAATCTAGGTATTCGAACCTATGCCGACCCAAAAGGTCCCCCTTTGTACTATTTTGAGGTATCCCTTTTTGTGACTGACCCTAAAATGTTTTTACAGGCGCCTTTGGCGCCAATATGCACTAATATCGACGGGGGAGCGCGCGCCGATAAACGCAATTTTTTTGGTCAAAATTTTCAAGAAAGTGGCCCAAAACCCCTTTTTGACCTGTTATTTCAAAGTTCCGCCTGCGGCCCAGAAAATGTGCCCGAAACAAATGTCTTTTTAGTGCTTTGAAAGAGCTTGGAAAATCAATTTGATCGATCTAAAAAAATGTCGACAAACTTTTTGCGCGCAAGAAGTTATATTGTCTAATTACAGTGACTTACGGGTCGTCTAATTTGCTTGTCGTCTAATTTCCTAACGTCCCGTGTATCTATATAAAGCAAAGTAATTTGGTTCAAAATCAAGTTAACCTCCTACTACGTTTTATGTTACGGTGATAATATTGTTTTAATTTTCTTTTCAATTTTATTACAGGTTATTTATTTAGCTGTCTTCAAATCCATAGGGGCTGTTTCATGGTTTACTAAAGTGATTACAGGAAATACTTTTTTTTCAGGAAACAATTTGGTTGCAATTTATGCTCCCTTGAGAAAACTGCGAATCTTAATCTGCTAGAGTTAATAAATGAACCAAACAAATCGAAAAACGGATGAGTATTGACGTAAACAACCTAATTAGGGAAGTCATTCGATTATACCTGATCTGTTGTCATATAGAGTTCAAATAGGAAAATTAGTTCAGGTTTGAATGAGCCTTAAATTGTGAAACAATCGAAGCATCATGATAACCATAATGATGTATTAGGCCTTGCAGATACGAAATGAACAGAAAGAATACGATGAATTATCAAGAGAAAACTTTACGCGAGAATCTGGCGCATTTTTAACGGTTGGCAGCCATTTTTGTCAGATGAAAGCATTTGGTTGAATGGGCTTTAATTTATCCACTTTAGCTTGTTTACACTCCAGGTTGAATTTGTGGTCGAATTTGTATCAACTTTATGGGTTGACCGAATCTCCGCTTTTCAACCCAAATTAAATATGTCGATGTAACCAAGAATAGTCCACAGGGTCAATTCTTGCGTCGAGCAAGAACGATCGCAGTTGACAGTGATGATCGATATACGAGTGAACCAGATTAAAAAACTATTGAAATTTTTATGAATTTTTGAATATTACCCGCGCAAAAATGTCTGGTGACAAAGATCTACTACAAAAAAAGTTTTTGAATTGCGTCAATTTACATGAAGGGTTTTAATTTCAGCGATAATGAAAACATTTAATTTTTGTGTCATCTTGGGTTGAGTTTAAATTCAATAAGATTTTGAATAGCCAAAAATTAGTTTAGGTATTAAATATAAGAGGTTGAATACTTTAAACGGTTCGCTTTATGTGCACTTTAAATCCATCACAAATGCCGAGCGAACAAGACTGCTCATATCAGGGCGACGCCCTGAACTCCCCGACTGCTTTTTAACGTCTATGGAGCAGTGTTCATTTTATAGAATTTTTTGAAAAGCATCGAACCACACTCCATATAAAGAACAGTGATCGATTTTGCTTCTAGTACTAAAACTATTATGGCAAATAGCCTGCTTCAACTAATTTGGAACGATTTCTCAGAAGGATTAAACCTCCGCTTACGCGTTAATAGCGCGAATTATATCGCTCGCTGATTGTCCCAAACTAGCCAAAATAACAATACTTAAAACCCCATTACTTTTCGAAAAATGATCAGAGGTGAAGTACCTTTTTGAATTTGAGCTGAAGACAACAATATCTTTTAGATGATATCAAAATGCCGTCAAAAAAGTTTGAAGTCGGAATTTGTCTGGAGAAAGAAATCAGCCCGAGTACAATATTCCGTCACTTTCTTCAAAAGTCAGAATAAACTGCGCTAAAAACATTCAAATTTGAATCTAGATGAAAACATGGATCTATTCAATTCCTATTAGCCTGTGAGTTTTTAAGAGCAACCAGAAGCGTTTTGTTTTGTTTTGGAAAAGTTTCATAACTCAACAACAACCTTAGGTTAAAAAAGCTATAACAAACTAACATGAGAAAACCAAAACTTTTGAATTTTTTAGTTAATCGCTTTTAAAATTTTTTCATCTGTAGTTTTGCATTATATACAAAAAAAATAAAATTTATACTTGTGTAGCTTTCTGAAGATTAATGTTGAGTCAAAAAAATTGGATAGCTAATTTAGGCAAAAATCATTAAGTGAAAAAATAACAGTACTAGGTAGAAACCGGATTCTTTTAATAAAGTCAATACTTGTTCAGAAAAAGTTGTCCTACACCAGAGTTTTAGTTATAAAATCATTGTATTGGAAAAATAATTTGTCTTAAATTTTCATAAGACACTACTTTTACAAATTTCGACAAAAAACTGATTACTTTTCATTGTATATTTTTTTCTGTGAAGCCACAATCCATTTAAGTTCAATTCAGTCGCTAATATTCTATGTGAACTTCAGTATGATTGATTGTAATTGATTATTATCTCCAAATAGTTTCGCAACATTTTTCACTGAACTTACAAAAATTTCAGCCTTAACAACCCCTATTCGAATTCCAAACTTACTCAAACATACATTTTTAGCATAAGCGCTACTGCCATTTCATTCTAATCGATTAACATTGATTGCTTCTGATTTTTACTCGTATAAGAAAAGAAAGGGTATAATCTTTTTTTAATTTTTTATTTTTCACTGGTTTCTGTTTTTTGAGACAAAACAAAGAAAATTGAAAGCTTACATATAAAACAAAAAGCAACGAGAACAAAGAAAACCGAGTGAGCAAGTTTATGTTCCAAAGTTTTTTTTTCCAAAAATTTCGCGTTTTGCTTCTTTAGGAAATCGTTATTTACACTATGATTTTTTGAAATTTTTTTGGCAAGTAACATAAAAGTGAGCACCTTCTCATATGTCTAAACGAGAATAAAAATTTTACAAGAAACAAAATTTAATCTCCAAAAAAACCTGGGTCTCAACAAGAATATAAAAAGTATATATCTCCAAAAAAAGTCACAAGAGATATGCATCTGTAGGATAACAAGTCTCTGGAGATTTAAACTATGTTGAGTTATATAAAAGGCACATATTGACAAGGAGACTCGGCAATTTACCATGTAGTTTGGCATAAATTTCTGTTGGTTAAAATGAACCAAAATGAGCCATTTTAGAGTTCAATTTTGAACCATGTTTTCCCAAACAAATTGCATCATATTATTTCCGGTATAATTCTTGGCAAATTTTGTTCACATTAATTTTTCAACAACTCAGTTTCAAGAAAACAGCGTTTGAATCTTCTTTTTTGAAAAATTCTTGATGATTTAAATCAGCATTGCATTTGAATAGAACATTTCAAGCAAAGCCATGAATCAAATTGATCGCAGCATTGAAAAATAAATTAATGCCCACCTTCAAAACATTCTGGGTTCATCACAGTTATAAGTATTGTACTGCAGGCGACTATAGAAAAAAGTTCAGACAAAAAATGTAAGAATTTTGCAAAACACAAATGGAAACTTAGATTCAAACACTCACTTTTCGAAATATCTTATCACACGCAAAGTCTAACAGAAAATGTAAAAGTAATTTTTTTCTTGTTTCTAAATAGTTAAAAGATTATCTGTAAAAATTTTAACATGAATTTCATCTTCTATTTTGTTTCTAACATCCAAAAAAAGAAAAAACTGTCCTCCATTTTTGATTAAAAGCATACTTTTGAGTAGCATATATATATTTATATATATAACATTGCAAGTGCTTGCAGTGAAAAATTTTGCTCTAATTCGATGGTCATAAAAAGAATTGCAGATTTAAAGAAATACAACTGATATGTTAATTTTAAAAAATGTGCCGTTAAGATTTCCAAAAAAAAAACAACATCTGCTGTTTTTCAATGAACATCTACCTTATTTTCCGCCAAAGAGAAATCAGAATTTTTTAGATTAACATTTGGAGAAAACAGACAAGTGATGGCTCAAATTGACCATTTTTGTTCCAAAGAAAGTAGAAAACTCTTCTCTTCAAGCAATTATTGATAACTTAGCAGAGCTTTTGAGATGTCTTGTTAAAATGTTATCGTAACAGAGAAGCTTACGTGCGATCAGTTTTTTCAAACATAAGGAAAATTTCGAGAGCAATTTGATTTCTGACGGCCAAAAAACCTCAGCGTCAATTGTTTTTCCACTCAACGCTATTTAAGTGAATTAGGGCCTGGTACCGTTCAAACAGGCCATATGTGAAACATCCGAAAATCCAAAAAGGGTCGCAAACTCCATATAAAAGTTAGGGCCGGTTATTATCGCCACGACCTTGTACTGAGACTAGGCTAATTGAAACTTAAATCGTGTTTAAGTTCTAAGGTCGTTGGGGAGTTAGGGTATTTGAAAGGTTCCGTTTTTTCCCAGAATTAAATTTTATATCTGGTTTGCTTTTTTATTCAAACTAATTTCGTCAATTGAAATTTTAGCGTTCATTAACAAACTGGGGTTTGAAAATAGTGAGTGGCCGACTTTTTATGCATCGAACAATTTATTTACAGTAATTATCCTAAAAATTGATTTAAGTCGAGCTATTTGATCATAAAAATTTCCTATTCGAATCGAATCATGTTTCTAACTAATTGATATGGACCGAATTCAAGTTTTCTAGATTATTGAACATTTTTTAATCAAAACTGTTCCATTCAAACGGCAGTCGGAACCAATTTGATCCAAAAAAACTAGAACAATATCTTAGAATAGAAAAACTTAAAGGCCAAAAATCGAGCAAAGTTCGGGCGGAAAAAACTATCTGAGTTGATTTCCAAAATCTGATTTCCAAAATGCAATGACTCTATGATCAAGATTTTCATATTCAAAATCTATGGAAAAAGCTCATCTTATCAAATTACATTATGTCCAAATTGTATGACTAGCATTTTTTCCATAAAAAATATTGCGCAAATAAATCACAAACCATATACACTATGCACACGTAGCCTGCATGATTTCCTAATTAGTAAAACCTTTCGCTATCGTTTCTAGCGCAAAACACAAAATTGTAAATTTAAAGACCTAATTGTTTTCACTTATGAAAAAGGGCTAGTCATAGAATTCTAATGATAAAAAATTGATACGCATGTTATTTTCACAGAAATTTCGGGTCTATGCATTTTTATAAGTTTTTAAGGTTCTAGGGTTGCGTAATAAAAATCTTTTTCATCATCAGAAATTAAACAATAAATTTTTTTTCAGAACATAGAAATATAAGTTGTTTTCTATAAAAAGAAATTGTATGATAATCTTTTTTCCATCAGTGTAAAGTTTCTGATAAACGTTTTTATGAATGAAAAGTACATGATAACTATTTTGGTCAAGTCTGTCACTTCTTGACTTAGAGTATAATACAGTAAAATGTTTTCAGTTTAGGTCCTCATTCATCAAATTATTTTTTATAAATAGTCATCCTGAAAAAACTAATTGTCATTAGATAAATTATTTCTGTTTTCAGAGACGTCATGTCAACATCATTTGATAGTGTTTGAGTCATGGAAAAGCTAGGCTAAATAAATGATGGAAAAATTTGCTTCCTTATAAGGAGGGTGGCGTGTTGCTCTAACAATTGCCAGGAAAGCTATGGTTTTTGAAACCAGGCACGGGTTTTTGTAGTCGAAAGCGACTTATTTCCCTTTAAGATAAAGCAATCAGTTGATGTTTTAGTTTACTCAGAAACTAAATAGATACATTTTCTCTTTCAGAGTGATTAAAGCGTTTTAAAGATCAGGGAAAGGAACTCGACGATCTCTTTCTTCTTAATTTGAGTGTTAGAAAATGAAATGCGTTTTGAAGTGTTCCTTCTCTAAAGATGCTTCACTCAATTAAGTTCTGAGTTAGAGCAACATTCTTTACAACCGATATTAATTTTGTAAAATTAAAGACCCTACTTGAAGCCTTTTTGGTACCCTTTTTGCTGGAATACCCGTAGGATTTGAACCCTGGAGTGAACTTTGCTGACCTTTCGTTTGGATCGCATGTGTCTGTCATCTGCGGCACCAACGCTGTCTCTCATGAGAATGCATGCAGTCCTCGCATAGGCCACACTTATGACCACACAGGGAACTATGAACACAAGAGCCAAGTAGGCAGCCAACGATCTAAACACACCATATAAACATTATTATAATCAAAGAAGAGAATGGGCCATGAATCAATTATGGCTACACTTATGACCACACACAGCACTATGGTACAATGAACCCAGAGGCCAAATAGCCAGCCAACCAAATTAACACGCCATAAAATTACTTCATGATTTTTAGCAATGGCGAGTTTTGAATTTCGAATTTTGAAGAAACCAAAATGTTTAAGCTTGGAGTGGTTTTTTTATTCAGTCAGTTTTTGGCGATCGAAATACCGTGCTGATTTAAATTATCCGGACAAAACGAACAAAACTTGAATTTTCAAACAGGCTTTTCTCAATTTGGGTTAAGATTAGACAAAAAGTGAAGAGAACAAAAGTTGCTTAGATATTCACCAGAGTTAATGAAATTCCGAAATTTCTAAAATTCTCAACCTGAATTTTACCCCAAAAATGGATCATTTTGTTTTTTTTTCTAATTAATCAAGCATTACGCTGAAATTACCTTGTTAATTAGATAAGAAATTTATATCACAAGAAGCCTCCTACACATCCCAACAATGTCCTAGAAGGATTGAATCTCCAAAAACTTGCGCAAAATTTTTTAAGCAAAAATTTTCGGTTTTATGTAAAAATCACATTTCTTGACTATCAAGCAAACATATTTTCTCTTCTACAGGTTTTTGGAAATTTAATCCTTCAAGAACTTTGTTGGGATGTGTAAGAGGTTTCTTGCAATATAACTTTCTCATCTATTAATAATATATTTTCAGTCTAATTCTTAATTAATTAAAAAAGCCAAAATGATCCAATAATTTTGGGGTAAAATTTAGGTTGAGAATTTTGAAAAAAAAAAATACCCCATATCAATTCTGGTGAAATTCTAAGCAGCTTTTGTTCTCTTCATTTTTGCCTAATTTTAACCCAGCTTGAGAAAAACGCGTTTGAAATTTCAAAATTTGTTTGTTTTGTCCAGTTAATTTAAATCAGCACTGTAAAAATTTTTAACAAAAATTTCATGCTTCATTAAAGATATTTACTCACTGAAATCAAAATAAAAAATATATATTTTACCTCCGATATTTTTGCAAAACTTTAGGAGTTAAGCTTTTGTAAATAAGTTCAGAGCCAGGGGGCCATGCTCAGGACTAATTTATGCGAACTGTGAAGATTTTTTCAGAATCCTGAAAGCGTATAGCGAATTGTTTAGGCGTGGTGAATTGTCTCGCACAAAAAAAAACGTTCCAAAACTTATCATTTTCAATATTTTATTTTCCCAAATCTATTCGAAATAGATTAAGGGGCAATGAGAACATTCAGGGCTTTGCTAGTCTTGTTGGTCATTTAGTTAAGGTCTCCTTCTACTTTTACTGGGCGTCGGAGCAACAATTTTTTAAACAATTTTTTGGCAGGCATTTAAAATAAAGCAATACAAAAAATATAAATTATTCTGATCTAAGTGAACCTATTAGTATGAAATTTGATCAATTTCAGAACACCTGAAAACGGAAAAGGTTTTTTTTCTCAATTGTATCAGTTTTCCCACCTCAATTAGATAATATTTCATCAAGACAACCATACCATGTCTCGAATTTAAAGTAGAAAAATAAGTTGGACGCAAACAAGGGTATCCTGTTGCTCTGCATGATTAGCCCCGAACGCTCCGCCCACCTAATTTTTGTTCCGACTTTAAATAATCGGTTCAGTTTTCATATATGCTAATCCATATTAGAAAACGTTTTATGATATTGGATACTTGTTACTTGATGTCAAGAAATGAAATTGTGAACGACAAAAAAACAAGATATTAAACGGTTGAAGGATGTCCGCAAATAAATTCAAGAGCAAAACAAATCCTTGGAAATTTTCGGAACAAAAAATCCATCCCGAGCACAAATTTTCCGTCATTTATTCGAAAATGGTGGGAACAATAACGGAAGCATGTTGAACTAATTTGCTCTCAGTCTTTTTTCAGATACATTTCATTTTGGACTAAAACGAAATATAACTGGAAAAAAATTAAGTGCCTCCTTTGTACTATTTTGAGATATCCATTTCTGGCTGACTAACTCTAAAGGTGCCTTCGGCTCCAAAATATACTAATTTTGAGATGGAGGCGAGCGCTGAAAAAACGCGATCTTTTGTTTAAATTTTTTCAAAAATTGTCTATAAACGCCTTTTTTGGCCTGTTTTTTTTCAAAATTTTGCCTACGGCACAGAAAATTTGGCCAAAACAAGGTCTTTTTAGTGATGTGGGGCTATCAGAAAAACAATTTGGTCGACCTAAAAAAACGTTCGACAAAATTCTTGAACATATTTAGTTTTAAACTTGAAAAAGGAAATTTATCCGAACTTAGAGCGGAACAAACCAGCTTAAGTTTAATCACTTTCAAAAAGTGGAAAATTAAGACATTTTAAATTTGTAGAAAATTAAATTTGATTTTAGCAACCAATAAACTGGTTCATCAAGCTCTTGAATTAATTTTGGTCGAGGGGGCGCGAGTGGTGAAGATAACCAGCCGAAAGAACTCATAGGATAGAACTCAGAGACGAAGGTTATAAAATTCTGTCAACAGTTGCCTAAAATCAGTAAATATATTTGAAGAGCTTGGTTGATTCATTACAGTGGTTAAGAGTTTTTAAGCCGAAACTCCTTGTAAACCTTCAAAAAAAGTGTTGAGAAAAGCATTAAAAAACAGACATAAAAAGAAAGATTCAAGTTTTGCTGAAACTAAGAAACATAATTTTTTGTCAAATAGAAATATAAAAAACGAACCATGTGTTATAACCAAAATATGGTCCCAAATTCATGGTGCAGAGCAAGTTTTGAGTAGTAGTACAGTATTAGTATTAAAACAGTATTTAGTATAGGCGATTTAAAATCAATCAGACACATTGCTAATTTGATTTTAATCTTACATTCATCATTCATTATTACTGATTTTTTTGTTCCGACTTTCGAAGAAAAGGGCGATACACTTGTCCTCAGGTGTTTTTTTCTCCAGACAAAATTCGACTTTTTAAGATGCCATTTTTGACGGATTTTTTATATCATCTGAAAAGTATTGTTGTCTTGATGTCGAATTTTAAAAAGCTCGAATATTTCATCTGTGATGTCTTTCGTGCTATTTAAAAGGTAACCGGAGTTTTAATCCGTATTAGAAATCATTCCAAATTGGATTGAGGCATGCTTTTTTTCCTATTTAATACTTTGCTATATGCAAAAAAAGATCACTTCGTACTTTAAATAGCGTGTGGGGGGCTGATTTAAGGGAAAAAAACATTTGAAAAATGATTTTTTTTTCTCTTTTTTTGAAAATGTCATCAATTATTTCATTTTAATTTCTTCCAGAGTAATTATATCGCATCGAAATTTTCAGGGCGTTGCCTTGATATGAGCAGTCTTATTAAGTTAATAGATTCAAAATTCACATATGATAAGAAATCACAATTTTAGATTGTCTGATTGAGAACTAAGACGTTAACTTTTTTATATTAGGCTTTTTTCATGTTTTAATTGATGAAACTCATAATGCGCCGAGAAAAATTCTTTTAATAATTGTAGCTTTTTATACAGCTCGGTTTTTCCACTAGGTCTTGGGTTTTATTGATACAAAAATATATTCAGATACACAAATATCTGAGATATTTTATTGATACACAAATATCTCAGGAAAAAACACAAATATCTCAGAAAAAACTTGCTTGATAAAAACTTGAAATCAAAAGAGAATAAGTTTTCTAAAAAGATTGAAAAAAGACTGCTCGTGTCAATGCAATGTCTCGAACATTCCGGCTGCTCTTCAGCGTTGATGAAAAACTTAAGCTTAAAACAATTGATGAAACAACCGAGAAAAAAGTTGGTTTTTCTTCGTTAAATCCCTTTGTTGTTATCTTAAGTACAAAAATTTAGTTTTTGCGTAAGGTAAGTTATGATTAATTATACAAATTGTTTGATTGAAAATTGTTTTGAGTGATTTCATTACCGCATAGATTTTATAAGACAAAAATGTCGTAAGTTGATTTTCCTAATCAGTCAAATTGACAGTTTTCAAACCCCGGAACTTAACAAAATGATTATTAAGTCGGAAGTTGTCTAAGTAAAAACCACACCGAGCACAAACTCCAAAGTTAAAAAATTTGCTGCTTGGTGTTTAAATTAACAGACAGAAATAATGTTGCAGATCCAATCAGCAGATATGAATCAGACTGTAGCATAGATTAAGTTCAATTGATATAGATCAAGGGTGTGTATGGATTCAAATAAAATCAAAAAGTAGCAGAATTAAGTAATCTAGTTGAATAGATCAAATTAAATTGAAAAATTTAACATTAACTTTGAAAAAATGCGTTTGATTTGAAAAAAAACCTTGTTATATGATCTGATAGCCATGACACTGCAATTTGAGATAGATTGTGGTCCTAAAATTGGCGGTGTATTGACTAGCATAAAACTCGACTACAATAAAAATTTTAAAATTGGAAAATGTATGAACTAGCAAAAAATTTTTGACTAACCATTATACGCAAAATATGGATCAGCCCCCTAGTGACGGACCGTAGAATATCCCCCTTAACTAAGTTGTAATTTGTAATTTTGAAAAAATTTTCTCTATAAAATATGCATTTCGAACGAACTCTCTAATTAAGTTTGACCAAGTTAACATCCTCCCAAAGACGTTTAGGGGGCAGGATGTTAACTTTGCCTTGAGTTTAAGTTTTCGGCCAATCAGAATAGAGCATTTTACATGCAGCGCAAATTTACATGAATAGAGCAAATTTACATTGATAGCTGGGGGTGGAGGATCTTAATGGTCTTTTTGGGGAGGGGATTTTTTTGGGCAGAGGGGGGCGGAGAATGTTGATTTGATTGATCAGTATGATTGTCAAGTTGATCGAATTAAGTTGATTGCTTAATTGCTAGTTAATTGCTTAATTTCTCATTTGCTTAATTTTCTTTTTCTCAGAAATGCAAATTTGGTTCAATTTGAACAGATTGTGATTGTTGTTTTGTAT